TGATACAGATATATGACAGTATGTATTAACAGAAAACATGCATCTAGTATGTTTTCTGTCAATACATACTGTGAAAACATCCAGTGGGATACGAAAAATCGTCCTAATGAATACAAATGTTTTTACCGTGTATGAAATGGAACCCGCGACCATTGGAAATAATGTAGTGTGCTAAATCGCTAGACCACTGAGGCCAACACAACTCTATATAATATAAATAAATAGCATTTACATGGTAAATTTCCCAAAATTTCTTCATTTTGTTCACTGTATGATACATAAATAGCACATAATAAATTTCCTAAAATTTCTTCATTTTGTTCACTGTATGATACATAACTAGCACATAGTAAATTTCCTAAAATTTCTTCATTTTGTTCACTATAATGATACATAAATAGCACATAGTGAATTTCCTAAAATTTCTACATTTCGTTCCCCCATCTGAATCCTTTGACTAAGTTGTACAACTATTTATTAGATCTGTGTTCGGTCGTAAATGTTTAATACCAATAATGACATTAGATATCTGTCCAGAAATCTCTACAGAGTATTCGAGTCGAGATGTTTCACTACGCTCCGTTCAATTAAATATTAACCTAATATAGAGCAAGTAGTTGAGTATTTAGCAAGTATTTATAGATCACAGTGTATTTGAATGTAATTTGAATTACACAGCTTCTTAATATTATTATCTATTCGCTACCTGCCCCGACTTCGCAAGGGTGTACATGTAGGTACCTATTGTACATATAAACCTTAGACTTGAATCATCATATCTCCTGCAATTATATTATATTATAATTATTATACAATTAAATATTTATTATATATATTATTATATTATATAATAACTATTCTAAAAAGTACATTAAAACCTGTGGCGTGGTTTAAAAGAACTAAGCTAACAGTCAGCGGCAGCGATTTCATTTTATACTATTTAAAGATTATTTCTACAACATGGAGATGTTTTTAATTATTTTTATTCAATAATTATTTTTTTTTTTCTCTCTTAAAATACAGAAGAAAGGTAAAAATTTAGAGACAAGAACCTGTGTTTTGCCATACTTTCCATTTTGCCATTCTTAGTATTAAATATATAGCATAATAATGCAGTTAGAATTGAAAATATAGCAAACTAGCCGTTACTCTTGACTTTGTCTACTTATTTTGTAATAAAAAAGTAGTTGTGATTATAAATAACTATATTTAATAATATTGCCACTGTCAAATCTATAGCTGTAACTATACAGCTATAGATTTGACAGTGCCAATATTATTACTACATATAACCTAAAATATAATAAGTATATAATAAATGCCGGGTCCATCGAGTGGCAGAGAGGGAAACCTCGAGCAGTCCCCAGGACTTGAGTTCCATCAACACTCACCTTCAAAGCTCGTGTTTATCTTCCTGCCCAACCAGAGCTGGTCCGGTAATGCAGCTTTGGATACACGTTTTGGTATAGTACTCACTTCCTCTGAAACGGTTTTACCGATTTTTATGAAATTACGTGTGCATATCGGGTAGGTCGAGAATCAGCCAACATCTATTTTTTATGCTGCTCAATGATACGGGTGACTCACTCCTAATTTTTTTTTTTTGACAAATAAATATATTTTTATGATGTGGCATTAAAAAGTACATACAACCCCAAAATCTTCACCTTTATACCATCAACCCCTATTTGTCAGCTAATGATGAAGAAAAGTATTAATCATTATTAATTAAATATTGCGTGTTAATCATATCTACAATGTAGTATCTACTCCTTAATTTTATTGTTTGGGTGCCCGAACGGGGTTCAAATTCAAATTCAAATTCAAAAATCATTTATTCATGTATGACATTTTAGCCGCTTATGAACGTAAAATTTCTTATTTTATAATTTTTTCCCTACCGTCCAGTTCGGTATATAGATCCAATTGAGAAGAACTGACAAGAAACTCAATTGAATTACTTTTCTTTTAAAAGCCAGTTTATTTACAATGCATATATATTTATATAGGTGTCTATGTATAACATTAAATGAAAATCCCGTACATGAAAACTATTGCCGTGCACGCTCGTCATTCAAGTAATCGATTAGTAATAAATAGGCCTTTCTCAGTAAATATGATTTAACAGACGTTTTGAATTAATTTAAGGGTAATTCCAATATATCCTTTGGTATCTTATTGTAAATTTTTATACCTATTCCCATAAAAGACCTATTGACTTTTTCTAAACGATACTTGGGGACACACATGATATACCTACATATCAATTGTAAATACCTGTACTGTAGACATTATGAAATGCAATAAATATTAACTATCAAGTATTACAATTGAATTCAATTCACATAGAACTTGAGTAGATTTTGTTGGTTTATAGTCTCACCTATTTCATTTGCCAAGCGGCAAATGAAGCGCATCGGCATCGGCAGTGACATTAGAGAATAAGACATTTGACATCTTAGTCATTGGGAATAATGGTTTCACATGATGTTCGTAGTATTGTTCATACTCGTTTATATAAGCGACGGTTACCACGTTAGGTAGGATGTCAGATGGTGTGCATTTCTAAGCCTTACTAATAAATCCGAAAGTAACTCTGTCTGTCTGTCTGTCTCGCTTTCCCGTCAAAACTACTGAACCGATTTAAATGAAATTTGGTACGCAGATAGTCTGGACCCTGAAAAAGGACATAGGCTACTATTAAATGCGAAAAAAGGGTTGTAAGGGGTTGAAAGTGGGGATGAAAGATTGTATGGAAGAATCGTCATTTTTGAAGCTAAAAGCTTGAAAGTTATTTTTGAGGCTGTTGATTAAATATGAATAAATATGACATTTAAAGTTTGTAAAAATTTTACCCTTAAGGGGTAAAATATCATTAGAAATATCTTATATAAATTGGGCGATATATAATGATAAGTGTGATGCAGACGAAGTCGCGCGGGGCAGCTAGTTACATATAAAAATAAACCAATATATGCTACTGTTCATGTAGTAGTAGTAGGCGACGGTTACCATTTACCATCAGTTTGTATACCATTGTAATTACATAAAATTTACGAATCTCAATCTACATGAAAACATTTGAGCTGATACGAGTTTTTAGAAATCAGAGTTGTTTATCATTGATAAACAACTCTGTCCCTCTGTCTCTACTTTCTCCTTTACTCCTCTGTTTCTACGTTTTTTTTAACAACTCTAATGCTGTTGACCGCAGCTGGCTTTTACTGCTTCGTCAGAAGATAGGATAGGCGAGTGCAGATGGCACTCCAAACCTGCAGAAAAGCTTATGGAGCGGCTGAAGGACAATTCCTTCCTAACGGATACGACTTTAGTCTGAGAACACAGCTAGGGGTTCGAACCACAGTTCAGGCCGCCGTAATTTCGATCCCCGTTTGAATTAGACAGGGAATTCTCACTTCTGCAAAGGTCGTTCGTAGTTCAAGAAAAAAATATTTGCACAATGTATTGTATCTAACCATTTATTTAATACGCAAAACATTATTCACAGATATAGTTATTTTTCTACTACGTAATTATTAATAAAATTTTATTTTGATGGTAAACTTACGTTGTATACTAGAGAAATACTGCAATACAATGGTCAGGTACGGAGACAATAATTTTCAAATGTTTACAGTTTTTAGACAATATGTTGAAGCCTCGAAAAAGACAGCTCGCGGTATAAAAAAAAATATAAATAACTAATACCCCGCGTAAAATTAAACCTGTGTAAATTTAGGGTAATATAAATACACATACATATGCCAATTTTATTTAAATCCTTTCAGCCGTATCAAACAATATACTTTCACGTTTTCAAAGTCGATTGGGACTTCTTATCTCGATGTTCGGACATAATTTAAAAAATTACTTCACGTGCAATTTTTGGAATCTCTATTATTTTTTAATAAAATCTAACCCATATTATACTGTAATAAAGTAACTTTCTATGATTGAAGGAATTTATAAAAGTAAATGTTTTTTAATCATCCAACACAAAAAATAAGTAAAACCTTTTTTTTTATAGCATTAAAATACAAACAGTTAACGCCGCGAGACATCTATTTCGAAATCAGTATGTACTAAGTATGATAGATTTTTTAGAAAAGCAATTTTTACATAAGCATACCTATACAATAGTTATAAAGTAAATGCCAGCCTTTACACAAAAATAGACTTTAACGTACATAATAAAAAGATCTTGTATCTACATAACAGTTTTTTATTTAAAATACACTTTATAATTGACTAGATATATGAATATACTTATGATATTTAATGAGAATAAAGAAATAGGAGGAATTCCGTTTTTTACATATCTTTTTATGCAAATTTTGTCACAAATCCATTTTATTTTATCATTGTACAACGAAAAATAAAATAAAAATTATTGTGTTACAATTCAAAAATAAACAAAAATAATAACAGATATTAAATAAAATTTTGTTAGAAATTTCTACAAAAACAAACTTAATAAATTTTGTATTTTTTTTTTAAATTCATGTAATTATTTTAAATCTTTGTATTCGATTTATATTTATTGTAGTTTTTTTTAACTATTATGTTGTGTCTAAGCATTAGCTGAAGGAATTTACAACGAAAGGATATGGGATATGACTAAGTTCAAGATAAGTCTACCTGGTATACAAGTCATCGTTGACGATTTCTTAACCACTTATTAACAAATTTCTTAATAATTTTTGATAGATTTCTTACAAAATGTAGGCTGTGTCTAGCCCATCATTATTTCTATTCTGGACGAGAAATATAATAAATATATCACTTTTAATATAAAGAATCAAGTTTGGTAATAGGATAGTAATACGTAATTAAATATATAGCAAGAAATACATTAATTGCTATGAAACCAAATTTGCATATTTGACAATTGAATATTAATATATGGGAATGTTCAACACTGGAGGGCTTCTACCACAGATATATATATATCTCATATAAATATAGACATCATAGTGTTTAACCTCCCCCTCTCCTTCCCTCCTCTAGTTCCACATATGGCACTCCAATTCAATCCTTATTTCAACATCATTAAGTTATGTTTATTATTAATCCGGGATATTTGAACCCTCCAGGGATGAAACCTTTTCGTAACTCATCCCAATTTTTACAAAAACTTTTCTGTGACTGAGTTAATTTTTACAAAAATTTCAAAACTTAGTTGATATAATATTAATGTGTGAAAAAGCAAAATCCTCGGGTTATATGACAGATAGTTTTATTTATTAATTAGGTAACGGACTGGGGATTTAAATTTCTTAGTTCAATTACAAGTTTTCCATGAAGTAACCGTCGTCGTTCTGCTGTGACCGTCTGTAGTTGTCCATCTGAAAAAAAAATGTATTTGATTATGACATGATTGATATTTCCTATAGACTTTTCTATCACAAATAAAGTTTTTAAAAAAATATGACTACAAATTTATGATGAATTACAACAATATTAAAAATAAAATAATATCGTAACTTAATGTATAATATTAAGTTACGAGTACGACTACGAGTCTATAACTATTAGATATCTTAAACTATTCGAGCCAAACAATTTACACGTACAAACTTGTCTAAACTAACCTAAACATTGTACAAACATATTCCGCACATATAATTAATATTAACAGTTCAATCAGGATAGTGAAGGCGAAGTGTCACTTAACAATATGTGACAATGTCCAGCGGTTGCTGTTTCTACATCGAACAAGTAACAAGCACTCTATCAAGTGTTGTCTAAATAATTCTCACCCAATGTTTGATGATGTTTCGTAGTTTAAACTTCATTACGTCTCGGGCGGCGCTGTCGTCATACACACCTGAGTAACAATATTACAGTTTATATAAACCAGTAGGTCGAGACCTGTTTTAGAACAGAGGTGAACTATTTTGTATTTAAGTAGAGAGTTAAAATTTATCTATTTTTGAAATAGAATAGAACTGTTTTAAATTTAATTAACCTTTTCAATTTTAATGCACATTTCTGTTAGCGAAGCACATTGGGTCTATTTAACATCATATTATTAAATTAAATCTGAGATTATTACATGAATTAATTGATTTTAGTAACTGCAATGTCGTAAAGTTTAATTAAGGAATAATTATATAAGGTACTACATGTAATAGAAGGCAAATAATCCAAAATATATAAACAATAAGGAATATTTCTACAGAAGGTACAATAATTCTCTTAAATAAGGTACTTACTAATAATAATAGATAATATTATTATCCGATTATTAACAGGAAAAAATATAATAATTAGTAATATTACGGTCATTTGTATTGGATTATTATGAATCATTATTTTATGATATAAATTTAAAAGCAAAGAATCTTTTATTTATTTATTAGAAACCAACAGCGTTACAATTTAATTTACATTAACGTATGTTGTAAAATTAAAGCTACTATAGGTTTCACTTAATTAACACAAAGTATGTAGTATTGGCTTGCGCTAAAACAAAATAACAAAATAGGAAATCAAAGAAATAAACTGAACACATAAAAAAAAATGAATTAAATAAATGATTGAATGAACGAGTGTGGAAGCTATACATCTCCATATAATATATACTACACACTGATGCCGGTAATTTGTCCAATCTTTACCATCACTGAAGAAATTTAATATAGCTACTACTGAAAAAGATATACATATAAATAAACGAAAATATTACTTTGTGATACTGTCTGCATTTACTCTGTGGTATTAAATCTTATTATGTTTATGTGGGCGTAAGTCAAGTAAATCTTCAACTTATTGTACAAATCTGTGATAACTTAACCTAGTACAGTTATACAAATAAATTCAAAAATGAAATCTTTACATTTAATTTGCTGTATAATATTTTTTTGTTTATTATAAATTAATAGGATTTGTTGTCTATGTTCCTGATGCATGAAATACATAATTTACGGGTAGTTATAAATAACGTCTAATTAAATTAAATAATAATAAAAAGACTGGGCAGGCGCATATCATGGCTAAAGAACTTAAGACAGTGGTTTGGGATTAGCACTAGATCCTTCAGAATAACGGTAGACTAGAAAATTAAGATCGCAATGATGATGCCAAACTCCAGTAGGAGACGGCAAATAAAAAAGAAGAATAAATAATAATAATAATAGCACTATAACCCACATAAATATATTTATAAAAAGAAAACTTTACATAAATAGGCTAAACAAAAGGCGACCTTATCGCTTAAAGCAATCTCTTACAGACAACCGGAAGAACAAATGTAGGAGAAGAAATAAAATCGCATGCACAACGTTGGTCTGAGAACTCACCGCCATCTCTGACGGGGATAATGTCATCACCAGGAGGCAGCACCCCACTGTAACCAGAGTTTGGGTAAATGGGATGTGGGGCCGTCTCCTCTTGTCCTAGCTGATGCCTGGCTATCATTTCAGAACTCGGCTGAAACAAAACAAATTATACAGATCAAAAATTTCTACGACAAACACCAAGACATTGTATGTTGACTATACAAACATACTCGTAGGTGCCGCATAGATTGATGACCTCGGTGGTCTAGCGGTTTGGAACACCGCCTTACTTTCGATGGTCGCGGGTTCGATTCCTCGCATGGCACAAATATTTTGTATTCATGCCTATGGCTGTTTGTAAAGATCTGGGTGTTCTCTATGTATAATTTGTACGTATTTACGAAAAAAAATATATGTATTTATATCAGTTATCATACCCATAACACCAGTTTTAGCTAGCTTAACTTGGGTCTAGATGGCACTGTGTGAATTGTCCTAAGATTATTATTATTATTACTGCCTGCAAACATCTATATAAACTATGGTTTATATAGATGTTTGCAGGCAGTAATAATAGCTCTGTTTGAAGAGAGAATGACAGTTACACATCAGTCATCAGGAATTGCAATTCGTGAAGACTTTCCATTCCTGTCTTTACCTTTGACGCTACCAATATAATTGTATGGCTAGTAATGGGAATGGGAGTTATTATTCTTTATAGCACTTTAAACAGAGTAGAAAACTTAATTATATACAAAGTGATCAAAGGTGGACTTATCTCTAAAAGAGATGTCTACCAGTCAACCTAACAGTAACACAGTAAATTCAAATTCAAATTCAAAAATCATTTATTCATGTAGGACATATTAACCGATTGACGTCAAATTTTTACATTATAAAAAAAAATATACCAGCTGAGTTTCTTGTCAGTTCTTCTCATCTCGGAATAATTCCGAACTGACGGTAGATTTGACATATAATAAGAGTCTGTAATAGACATGAATATAGATATTATGAATTTGAATTTTTTGAATTTGAATTTATTATTTATTTTTTCCCCTACCGTCTTATTCTGTATACAGATCCAATTGAGAAGAACTGGCAAGAAACTCAATTGAATAACTTTTTTTTTAAAGTCAGTTACAACAAGTTTATTTACAATTTATATATAGGTGTCTATGTCTAACATTAAATGAAAATCCCGTGCATGAACAACTATTGCCATGCACGAACAGTATTATTATTATTCCACATTACTAATAGTCCCCTTTCCCCTAACGCATGAGGGGTTTGTTTAATAGATGATAATGGAAAGGCATGCTAACGGTTTTCACTGGCGGGGCACTAGTGGAGCATAATAAAATGAACGATCAACTGTGTTAGCCTATGATGGCGAAATCACTAGGAATTTATTATGATGGTTTCCAGGGAACTGCGTGAAGCTCAACCTGCTATATTGATAGCGGTCGTCAGTCCACATTACTAACAATCCCCTTCCATCCTAATGCCTGATAGGTATCACGGGTCACGCGATGACGTGATAGTTCATCTATATAGGCCGATGGTTGCCACTTTCCATCTGGTGGATTGACTTGCCATAGCTTTCACTAAAAATTTCAATTATGAGAACAGTAGGTTTGAAACTAACAAAGATTACTAATAAATGAGAAAATTACATTTGTAAAAATAAATAATTATTTGTATCATCATTATTATTACACAGCATAAAACAAAGTCGCTGTCGCTGTCTGTCCGTCCCTATATATACTTAAATCTTTAAAACTACGCAACGGATTTTGAAGTGACTTTTAATAGATAAAGTGAATCTAGAGGACGGTTTATATATAATACGTGTACAGCCGGGCGAAGCCGGGGCGAGTAGCTAGTTTTGTATAAAATTACAAAGGATGTCCATTATTATAGAGACTGCAAAGATCAAGTCGAAATTTGCAGCTTTTAATTGCTCATTACTAAAAAATGCGCTTAGCAAAGACAAATTAATACCTTTATATAATTAACTTGTAATTTGGTAAGGGGCATTTGAAGCCTTTTTTTTTTTTTCAAGTTTCCATGGGATACGGTAATGGTTTCCTATCAGGTGATTACCATTTAACACCATTATCATATTAAAAAATGTACCTGTGTACTATACTAACTTCCCCCGTAGAAACCGTTATGATAAATTCCTAGTGAATATATCATGATTGACAAATTGACCTGACCAAAGTGGAGGATGATAAGGTGAACAATCTTCACTGGTACCCGCAACGTGGCGGGTACACCATTCCATTGTTATACATTAAAACAACTCATCATTTAAAATTCATTACTATATAAAAATAATAATAATCATCATCTCAGGACAATTCACACAGCGCCATCTAGTCTCAAGTTAAGCTAGCTGAAGCTTGTGTTACGATAACTAATACAAGTACATAGAAATTTTTTTTTTTCGTCAATACATTTTATTCTTAAGGAACACCCAGACCAGATACAAACAATCAGACTCATGAATACAAATGTTTGTGCCGTGCGACGAATTGAACCTGCGACCATCGGACATAAAGCGGTGTGCTAGACCGCTAGACCACCGAGGTCGTCACCTCTACCACTATCACCAGTAAGTATTGACTTAGTATCTGTTAACAATTTAATCTTTATTAGACGGCTTCGGTGGTGTAGTGGTTTAGTACACCGTTTTACTTCCGATAGTCGCAGGTTCTATTCCTCGCACAATGCAAATATTTGTATACATGATTGTTTGTATCGGTCTGGGTGTTTTCTATATACTATGTACATATATACGTATATCACTTTTCTAGTACGGGTACTAGACAAGTGATATAAGTACATATAGAGAGAGCAACAGAGCATATATTACGGGTAACATAAGCTCTGCTGCTCTCTCGCGGGACTAGACAGCGCTGGGAAAATTATCCAAAAATAAAAATGTATTGTTTAAAAGTTAGTATAAGTAATTGATCAATAATGAAAGTCGCTTGGTTTAAATTTAACACGTACATGAATTTCATTTGCGGTTTATGTAATTTAAGTACTTGTCAATAACGTCGTCGACGGGCGTTTAATTACTATGCGGCAAGTTAATGTGATTTAAACAAGTAACAGCTGCACTGAAATTAATTCGATAACATACCAACATAGTTTAACATAAAGTTTATCTAGAGTAGTATTAAAGCTGTATGTGTCATATCCTAGAAAATTTATTATTTTTTTCTAATTTCATAAATTTTTCTATTTTTTTTCTAAATATATGAAAATATGATTTTTTTACAATAAGTAAGAAAATTCAATATATTTTGTACATAGAATAAGGCAACTACAATTGTAGACAAGTTCATGAAATTTTTCTACTGTCATAATTAGTCTAATTTTTTTTCTAAATTTATGAAATTGTGAATTTTTTTACAATAACTAATACATATCAAAAATTTTTGACTAAGAAGGCAACTATAATCAACGATTCACACTAGTCAGATTTTCTTTCAAAAAGTTTGTTTTAAAATTACACGTAACTGAAAAACACTATTATCAGCAAAAAAGGACCTCTGTTTAGTTCAATCGCATGAACAATCCACAACAGTATGAGAATTTGAAAAATGTGCAAGACATTGGAATTATAATGAATTTTTAAAATAAGAAAAATAACTTTATATTTACTGTAACATATAGAGTAAGTCGAGTAAAGCAAAGCGTAAATATTTACAGCAAAATTTCGATGGAAAGTATTGCATCGCACTTAGGCAAGGAAAGAAGGCAAGGTCTCTATAAATAGAGAGAAGGATGTGACAGATTTTTTGATAAATTGTATAAACTTTAAAACTGAAGAATACCAATATCATAATTTTATTACGTACATACACTTCTCTTAATATTGACATAGTGAAATAAATAAAAAACTACGAAAATTTATAATCAACGACGTACTCGAGCTGTCGAAGTAAGTAGTCCTCTTACCTCCATACCAGAAGTATCTCCAGATCTTTTGCCATGTCCACCGAAACACGAGTGACCGAATGCAGAGCAACCTCCTGTAACAATAACAATCTATATATTATAATAGAATGGTACACTTGACATATATATATTTTTTTCTGATTATGGAATAATTCGTCTATTGACGGTACTAGCAAAGTATCATCCCCCCACCTAACGGTATACGGTGGCGGGGCAACATAATGACTGTATGAATCAATTATCGTACGGGAAAATGAAAATATCGAATTGAAACCTAAATATAACCTTATAATAATGACACGCGAGTGGAACTGGTGCGTACATATGTGTTTTACGCAAACTAATTAAAGCTCATCCTACTAAACTTCTAGACCACTGAAGATGTAATTCTAAAAATATTAATAAATCATTATCTTATATATAAAATTCTCGTATATCTTAGTTACTATATTCCTCCGAAACAGCTTGACCGATTTTTTTGAAATTTTATATACATATTCAGTTAGTCTGAGATTCGGCTAATGTCTTTTTTTCATAACCCTAAGGGATAAGGGTTGTCCACCCCTACTTTTTTTTATTTATTGGACATTTCTTTATAATGTAGTATTAAAAAATACATACAACTCTAAATTTACATCTCTCATCATTCCATCACCAACCCCTATTTTTTAAATAGCAATTTTATATTTTATGGCAAAACAACGTTCGCCGAGTGCGTTAGTATATATATATATATATATATATATATATATATATATATATATATATATATATATATATATATATATATATATATATATCCAAGTAGTATTAATACATCATTTTCTGCATTGAATTATGCAAATAAAAATATCACACCTAACGTTACCTTTTAGAGAAAATACGAAATAGAATATGACAAATCGAAACAATTCACAAAAGCGCGATGTCGTCACATCGCGCTTTTGTGATTGTGTATTTCTATCAGTCAAGTAATAATAATGTATATGTAAAGGCTAATGTGACCAGAATTCCCGTTTCGAATAGGACAGTCCCTTTTTTACTATATAATAGTACTATTTTACTATATTAATACGAGTCCCGGTGTCCCAGATATGAATTCTGGGACTCAAAATTGTCCCGTTTTCAGTAACCGTGCGAAATTTTGAGCAGACGAGCCGATTTTTGGTAATTAAGGCGAGTATAAAAAAATGTACCGAGTGTTGTCATTCTTACATATAATCTTCTAATAAGAGCAAATTTGTTCCTCCGATAAATATATAAATACAACTAAACATTTTATTTTTATCAGATAAATATAAATATGACAAATAAAATGTTTTATTATATTTATTAGGTATATTTTTAATTCGTAACTTTTAAGTTAACTTTTTCTGAATAATAATTAGTTTTAAAAATTGTTTTTTTATTGACTTAACAGATAGTCAATAAAAAAACTATTTTGTAATTGACCTAAATAATATAATAATAATAATAATAATCTCAGGACAATTCACACAGCGCCATCTAGACCCAAGTTAAGCTAGCTAAAGCTTGTGTTATGGGTACTAGACAACTGATACAAATACATAGATAATTTTTTTTCGTAAATATATACATATTATACATAGAAAACACCCAAACCGATACAAACAATCATACTCATGAATACAAATGTTTGTGCCGTGCGAGAATCGAACCCGCGACCATCGGACGTAAAGCGGTATGCTAGACCGCTAGACCACCGAGGTCGTCCGATGAAATGAACCGATATCCGGATTTGAGTCGACTAATAAATGGTCACGTTAGTCATGGATCCACGGCAAGGCCTGAGGCCCATTCACTATTGTGGCAGGCGGCGTGGGCTGCGATACAACTTCCTTTGAACGCTTTGCTATAAAAATTGTGTCAATTCTTGTAACTATCATTCATTGATTGACGTAAAATCTACGTATACGTATAGTTATATTGTTATAATGTATAAAATTAGTTTCTATAAATGTATAAATATATTACTAAACTTAATAGAGAACAAATTTCAAAGTGTGCTCAGATGTTTTCAAAAGAATGACTGGTTTTAATTTTTTTGTTATTAAAATAGTTGTTTTATTTACTCATTTCTTATTTTTGGAAAATGAAATTTTATAAAATTTTAAGTAACACTGCTTGTCTGCGAAAGCTATAAATACTCTAAAATGCATTAAGTTTCTTGCTTATTCTTATCAGTTGAATCTGTTTAGAATAGGCGATAAAATTAATAAAAGTTAGGATTGAACATTGTATTAAGTTTTTTTTAAATATCTTATTTGTATGTATCCCATTCTTAGGTGTTTATACTGTATTCAGAAATGACCATAAATAATAAAAAATTACTATTCAAAATTGTATTTTGTCTCTTTAAAAATATATATTATTTGTATTTTTATTTCATAAATAAAACACTATACTAACCAGCCTGTTCTCTACAGTTATAGAATGGTATGTAATAAACCCAGGACAATTCTCGCAGCGCCATCTAGTCCCAAGATAAGCAGTGCTTGTGTTATAGGTACTAGACAACTGATATAAATACATTTTTATGTAAATACATACATAATATGTAAATACATAGAAAACCCCCAGACCGATACAAACAATCATACTTATGAATACAAATGTTTGCACCATGCAGGATTCGAAGACGCTACCAACGAAAAAAAACGGTATGCTTAACGGACTACTAAGATCAATAAGCTAAGAAGTACCCATCAATGAAAAAATAGTGGATTGTTATATGTTATATTTACAAATGTAACTTAAATTCACATTTGAGTTACATTTGTTAATATAATATGTAACAACATATACACGAATACAGAATAACTACAGGGTGTGGACCCCATAGTTACCCTGTATTCGTATCAACAAGGCTTTATAAGCGCCCCGAATGCACGCCAAAGCGGCATCGATATATGAAACTTGATACCGTGTTCTAATAAATACCAAGCTGTTTAAGTCATAAGAGATGAGCGGGTGAGTATTATAAAATCGCACCATTCGTGGAAAAAGGAAGTAAGTGATTTTTACCAACTTTTCAGGAGCTTAAAAAAACTGTCCTATATTTTTTGTATGAGTTCTAGAAATAAGTTTCAAAGAGAAAATCGTAGGTCACAGTTGCCTTCAACTACATGTGTCATTTAATTTAGGAACAGCTTCATGTACTTCCAGATAATCTAAAAAAACACGGTTACTTCTGTATTCCACGAAACACAAAGAACATTTGCAGGGGTAACTACAATTATTGCTTTATTGTTATGTATTTTTACATATATGAACAAATTTAACTCTACTTACGCCTTTATACTCTCCTATATTTCATTAAAATCTAGAATTGCAAGTATAATTACGTTGTTATTTAACGAAATATCATTTTTTGTACATCGAGTTACGTATTTCTAGGGAGCCATTTATTTTAGTTTAGTTAGTGTATTTATAAAAATAGCTTTTATAATGCGGAAAGTAACTGAATATTTAATTTGTATCATGTAATACCTACTTCTTACAGTAAATAGTCTATTATGTGCGTGCATGTAAGTCAAAAGTATAAATATAGGGGCAAATTAATTTAGAGAATATGAAAACAAACAGGGTTATTATTAATTTATTATTATTTTTAAAGAAATGTTTATTGCCTCCATAATCAACTTAATCAAAAAATGTTCAAAATAGTGATATTTTTATTATTTTTATTAACGTTCATTATCCTCAACTTTTGAATCAGACTCTGTGGTTTAGTTTAGTTTAGTCTTAGATGTAGTACTTAAGTTCTTATAAAACGTCTGATATGTTTTTATCTTTATATAGATTCATCAAGTCTTTGTATATATTTTAGGTATCGGTAACGGTGCATCATACTAATGCTTGATTTCAGAAGGCTCGCTGTGTGCAGCTCTTTTTTTCTCATAACTCTTCCCCTTCTATTTGTCTATTATTTGGTGTCTCATCAGCGAATGCGTATTTTATTTGGAATTTCCCCGGACATTGAAGATCTGCCGAAATCTCTTTAATTTTACTCCAACTCGTGTAGTAAATATATTAGGTCCTAACATATGAAATTTGTAAGGGAGTAACCTAATTACTCCCTTACAAAACGCCAATTTCAGTTGATTTTTCAAAATATAATATATTTATTTAATCAAAATGTAAAAATGTAGTTTTATTGATCCCTTTACTAAAAAACCATTAGGACGAGTATCGATAAATCGGATTTGAATTTTTTCCCTTGCAAGAAGTTATCCAAATTTTGAAAGAAAGCAAGATCCGGGAAGTACGGTGGAAATATTGGACATTTGAAGCTCTTCTAATTTCGTAACGTTGTCCTGAAGCAGCAGTGGCCTACGGTGATTGACCAGTCTCGGTTGTTTAGCAGCTAGCTTTTCCATCATGGTTTGCAATTGCTGACAATACACATCTGCCATCATATTCTGGTCATATTTAAGAAAGCTGAAGTGAACAACACAGGCACTAGTCCACTAAGTGCTCACAAGTAACTTTTTTGAGTTTGAATTTTCGCTTGGGGCAGGATTTGGTTAGTTTGCTAGGATTCAGCCATTGCGATGAGTGTTTCCGATTATCGTACAAGATCCACTTTTCATAACAGGTAATGATCCGATTTAAAATCCCTTCATTATTATGCCGGTTGGCTAATAACGCAGCAGTCTACGCGCGTTTGTCGATTTGCTTCATTCAATTCATGATCTTTTCAAGCTTTTTTCACCTTCCCAATTTGCTTCAAGTGGATTAAAACAATTTTGTTACTAACACTGCAGCCTGCAGTTAACTCGGACGTGGTTATCGATGGATCCGCTTCCACATTAGCTTTTAATTCTTCTTTATCAACCTTGGACTCTGGCTGCTCACGGGGCTTGTTTTGCAGATCGAAATTTCCAGAACGAAAACATTGGAACCAAAACGCACCGTGTTTTCTTTTGCAAAACCATCGCCATACACATCATTAATTCTTCGAGTCGTTTCTGCACACTGGTGCCACGACGGAATTCGTACTCTTAAAAAACGCGATATTTTATGTTTTCCATTTTGTAAACTCAGTGACGTA